ATTTCCGACGGAATTTTAATTTTAAAAAAAAAATTAAAATTCCGTCGGAAATCCGTCGGAAATTGTTTTTAATTAACTCTAATTAGTTGATTAAAATAAATTAGACAAATTTTGCAACGGATTTCCGACGGATTTGTGACGGTTTAGAATAAGTAAAATAATCCGTCAGAAATCCGTCAGAAAACCGTTTTAAATAATTTTAATTTTTTTTCCGATAAATTCAGTGGGGGATTTGTGGGGGATCTTTGGCGGATATGGATAAAAGTTGACTTTTTTTTACTTTTTTGGTATCCGTCGGAAATCCGTCGGTAATATTTCCGACGGAATTTCCGCCAGAAAAATCCGTCGGTGATGCCCTTTTTTTTAGTAGTGATCGCTCCACATCCCCACCATTTGTCGCCCCATCGTTGTTCACTATCCATCATCACCTATTGCTGTCTTTAGCCCCTGCCGTCGATCACCCACTTTTGATTCGTTTCTTTTGGTTTTTAATTCTCCTTATTTTGTCCACGTGTACCCCATTAAATTGTTGGAAAATATTGAGAATCAAATGATAAATAACACAATGACAGCGATAGGTGGTATTGAGAATGGACAACAATGGGGGCAACAAAGGGGAACGATGTTATATGATGCGAGGGGTTTGAATGATGTAGGGTTTGAGAACAGTAAAACTGATTTAGTTCTTCTTGTAATTAACTTTTAAAATTTCAATGATTTATTTATTTAAAGAAAAACTTGTCTTTCAAATTGTATTAATATGTAAAGACCAAAGTGCAACTTATATTATCATTAAATCTTCTTTAATAAAACCAGTGAAACTTCAAAATCGTTAAAATTCACGACTAATGATATATTTATATAAAAAATGTAATTTTAATGCATTTTAGTAACTGAATTTTGTAGCCGAAGGGGAATCTCCATAATCAGTAAGGCTATGACACCAAACAGATAATGCCTAAGAATACCCGTTAATGGAGTGATGGACCTACAGAAATGATTTGGATTTTCCATTGATATAAACAATGCAATCATCTTATTAATAATCCAAAAACCATGATATTAATTCATGCACTGAAATGGAGATAATGAGCATTCAATACAGGTGGGTTGCAAGCTGCTGTGGTGTGGCTATGGCCATGTTGGTGCCATGGAAGATGTTGGAATGGGCATGGTTCAAACCCAAGAGGCTTGAAAAGTACCTGAGGCAGCAAGGTCTTAATGGCACCTCCTACAAACCACTCTTTGGAGATACAAAAGCCATCATGACTGCAACACAGCTCCAGCCCATGAATCTTTCTGATGATATCATGCCCAGAGTCATGCCCTTTGTTCATACAGCAATTCAAACCTATGGTACTTCATACATATATATATATATATATATA